GGGGAGGAGGGGGGAGAGAGGGCTGCTGCGGAAGCCGTGCTGCTGCAGCAGCCGGCTCGTGCTGCTGCTGCTCCCGCGGTTGCTGCTCGTGCGGCGCCGACCCACTATGCTGCTGCTGCTGCTGCTGCTGCTGCTGCTGCTGCTGCTGCTGCAAGGCTCCGCGTCGCTGCAGGTGGACCCGGGTGGCGGCGCACGACGGGGCGCCATGCGCAGGCTGCTGCTGCTGCTGCTGCTGCTGCTGCTGCTGCTGCTGCTGCGCTTGCTGGGCTCGGATAGGGCAGTCCGCAGCAAGTGCGCCGGCGCTTCCTCTGCTGCTGCTGCTGCTGCTGCTGCTGGTTCTGCGGCTGCCGGCACAGCAGCAGCTGCTGCTGCTGCTTCCAACTCGGCAGCGCCAGCGTCCGTTTCGACGGAAGCCCCCCGGCTGTAGGCTGCTTCTTCAGCAGCAGCAGCAGCAGCTGCTGCTGCTGCTGCTGCTGCCGCTGCTGCTGCTGCGGCCTCTGCCTTCGCTGCTGCTACGCCTGCCCCAGGCGCCTCGCCCCTACGGGGGCTCACAGCAGCACGCGCATCTGCTGCTGCTGCTGCTGCTGCTGCTGCTGCTGCTGCTGCTGCTGCTTGGTCTCTTGGAGTTTCCGTTGCTGCTGTTCGGTCCGTCGCTGCTGCTGCTGCTGACGCAGCCTCTGCTGCTGCGGCTTCTGCTGCCTTTGCTGCTGCTGGCGCTTTCTCATCACCAGAAAGAGCAGCAGCAGTGTCACTTGCTGCTGCTGCTGCTGCTGCTGCTAACGCATCTTCCCGCTTGACTTGTAGGGAGTTTGCTGCAGCAGCAGGGGCTGGTGCTGCTGCTGCTGCATCTTTAGGGGTATCGACGGCAGAACTCATAGCTGCTGCGGGTGCTGCTGCTGCAGCCGCTGCAGCTGCTGCAGCTGCTGCTGCTGTTGCTGCTGCGCTGATCACGAGGTGCTGCTCGTCGCTGCGCTCTCCTTGCTGCTGCTGCTGCTGCTGCTGCAGTTGCTGCAGCGGCAGTTGCTGCTGCACAAATATTCAATGTAACGCCTACGACACTTCCCTTGACGAGCTGCTGCAGCAGCAGCAGCTGGCTGTTGCTGCTGCAGTTGCAGGTGCCGCAACTGCTGCTGCTGCAGTTGCTGCTGCCGCTGCTGCTGCTGCTTAAGGCCGCATGCAATCTGCGTTGCTGCCGGAGTATTTTAGCCGCAGAAGACTTCAGCGCAAGACAGCTGCAGCAGCTGCTGCAGCAGCTGCTGCAGCAGCTGCTGCGATGGCCAGCCGGCAGCAGCAGCAGCAGCTGCTGCAGCAGCAGCAGCAAGAAGACTGCTGCGGATCCGCTAGAATTTGACGCTGCTGCTGCTTCTGCTGCCACCTCAGGTCGAGCCGACGAGCGCGAGTCATGCGATCTGCTGCTGCTGCAGCTGCTGCAGCTGCTGCTGCTGCTGCTGCTGCTGAGGGGACAAGCAGTTTCTGTCCGGCCAATAGGATATATAAATATTAAATTCAAAATTCTATGGGCTAAGAGCAGCAGACCAACGACTGCGTCCTATGTTGCTGCTGCAGCAGCCGGAACGCTGCTGCTGCTGCTGCTGCTGCTGCTGCTGCTGCATGCGACTTTGCGCAGCAGCTGCACAAGGTGTCTTGCCAGTGTGCTGCTTGTCTTCTATTTCAAATCAAGAAAAATTCCCAGCAGCCCTTGCCCCACGCGCTGCTGCTTGTGCTGCAGCAGCAGCAGCAGCAGCAGCAGCGGCAGCAGCAAGAGCAGCGGCAGCAACAGCGGCAGCGCCAGCAGCAGCAACGGCAGCAGCAGCAGCAGCAGCAGGCCGAGATGCTACCCTGCAGACACCGTAGGTAGCTGTAGCCCCTGGAGTTGCTGCAGCAGCAGCACCGTCGATAGCAGCAGCAGCAGCAGCAGCAGCAGCAGCAACAAAGGCTGCCAAGATGAGAGGGGTCCTGCACGGGTCTCTTTTGCTGCTGTTCCTGCTGCTGCTGAGAGCTGAAGCTGCTGCGCCCCACAGCGCCTGCAGCAGCAGCAGCCGTGGCTCCCCGTTTTGTGGATCTGCTGCTGCTGCTGCTGCGCTGCTGCCCCCCCTGCCAACAGCAGCAGCAGCAGCAGCAGCAGCAGCTCCAGCAGGTCCCGCTGTAGGGCTGTTGCTAGCTTTACGTGGGGGGCAGCAGCAGCAGCAGCAGCAGCGTGAGGACCCGCAGGCAGAGCAGCAGGAGCAGCAGCAGCTGCTGCTGCAGCAAGAGAACCCACAGCAAATCTACCCCCACGGGGGGCCAAAGGAGCAGCAGCAGCTTCAGCAGCAGCAGCAGCAGCAGCAACGCGAACAGCAGCCGCATAGCGAGCAGCAGGACGAGCAGCAGCAGCAGCAGCAGCAAGATGAGCAGCAGCAGCAGCAGCAGCAAGATGAGCAGCAGCAGCAGCAGCAGCAAGATGAGCAGCACCAGCAGCCGCAAGACGAGCAGCAGCAGCAGCTGCTGCAGCAGCAAGACGAGCAGCAGCAGCAGCAGCAGCAGCAGCAGCAGCAGCAGCAGCAGCAGCAGCAAGAAGAGCAGCAGCAAACTGAGTTTTGGGAGAACTTCGTGATGGGTTTGTCTTCCATAAAAGTCCACACAAAAACTTTGCTGCCGCCCACCCACAGAGACTACAGAATTCAGCAAGTGCGCGAGCTGCAGCAAATAATTAATTTAATTAATTTAATTTAATTAATTTAATTTAATTAATTTAATTTAATTAATTTAATTTAATTAATTAAATTAAATTAATTAATTAGTTTAATTTAATTATTTCAATGCTTCTGGCTTTTGTTTCATTCTTTCATTCAACTTGCCCGTTGCGCAACCTGTCGCTCCCCTGCTGCTGCTGCTGCTGCTGCTGCTGCTGCTGCTGCTGCTGCTGCAGGAGCTGCTGGAGATAGAAAGGCAGCAGCAGCAGCTGCTGCAGCAGCACGAGCAGCAGCTGCTGCGCCTTCGCCAGCAGCAGCAGCACCAGCAGCATCCGCAGCAGCAGCAGCAAAACAACCCACAGCAGCAGCAAGACAACCAGCAGCAGCAGCAGCACCACAACCACCAGCAGCAGCAGCAGCAGCAGCAGCAGCAGCAGCCGCTGTTTACGGTGTACGTACACCCCAGCAACATGCGGGAGTGGCTGGTGTCTCTCCACCTGCCAGCAAAAAGCATTTATAAAAACAAAAACTTTTTGCTGCGGCTGCTGCTGCCGCAGCAGTTTCCCTTCAAGCCCCCTTTGCTGCACTTCCTTAAACCAAGTAGGAATTAAATTAATTAATTTAATTAATTTAATTAAATTAATTAATTTAATTTAATTAATTAATTTTATTTATTTAATTTATTTAATTCAGTTTGTTTTGGTTTGGCTTGGTTTGGTTTGTTTTGGTTTGGTTTTGCTGCTGCTGCTGCTGCTGCTGCTGCTGCTGCTGCCGCAGCAATTTCCCTTTAAATCCCCTTTGCTGCACTTGCTTAAACCGAGTGGGAATTAAATTCAATTAATTTAATTTAATTTAATTTAATTAATTTAATTTAATTAATTTAATTTGTTTTTTATTTTATTTGTTTCATTCTAATTTAATTTGTTTTGTTTTGGTTTGATTTGTTTCGGCTTAGTTTTGCTGCTGCTGCTGCTGCTGCTGCTGCTGCTGCTGCTGCTGCTGCTGCTGCGGCAATTTCCTTTTAAGCTTCCTTTGCTGCACTTTCTTAAACCCATTAGCCAATCAAATTCTTTCACTTTTTATTTATTTTAATTTATTTTGTTTTATTTATTTTGTCTGTTTTATTATTTATCTCGATTAATTATTTCATTTTGTTTAACCCTTTTTATTCCCTTTTAAACCCATCTCATCTCCTTCTCCTGCCGCTGCTTCTGCTGCTGCTGCTGCTGCTGTTGCTTCTCCCTCTGCTGCTGCTGCTGCTGCTTCTCCCTCTGCTGCTGCTGCTGCTGCTGCTGCTTCTTCCTCTGCTGCTGCTGCTGCTGCTTCTCCCTCTGCTGCTGCTGCTGCTGCTTCTCCCTCGCTGCTGCTGCTGCTGCTTCCCCCTCGCTGCTGCTGCTGCTGCTTCTCCCTCGCCGCTGCTGCTGCTGCTGCTGCTGCTGCTGCTGCTGCTGCTGCTGCTGCTGCTGCAGTCCCGGTGCACCCGCACGTGTACAGCAACGGCTCGATCTGTTTGAACTTGTTGGGAAAAGATTGGCATCCTTCTTTGTCTCTTTTCAAGTTGCTGCTGAGTCTCTTCAGCATGTTGCACGAAAACAAAAAACACAAACCCCCCCTCGACGACTTCCTCCGTAGGGTTTAGGGTTTAGGGTTTAGGGTTTAGGGTTTGGGGTTTGGGGTTAGGGTTGGGGGTTAGGGGCTAGGGTTTACGGGGAGGGGCTGGGGTTTAGGGTTTGGGGTTTGGGGTTGGGGTTTTGGGCTTAGGGGTGGGGGTTGGGGGTTAGGGTTTAGGGTTTAGGGGCAGGGGCTAGGGTTTAGGGTTTGGGGTTTGGGGTTAGGGTTTTGGGTTTAGGGGTGGGGGTTGGGGGTTAGGGATTAGGGTTTAGGGTTTGGGGTTTAGGGTTTAGGGTTTAGGGTTTGGGGTTAACTACTTATAATGAATTAATAAGTTGATTAAATGAGTAAATAATAAATGCATTACTAAATAAGAAATTAATTAGTGTTGTTTGTTTGTAAACAAAAACAATCAAACCCTAAAAGAGTGTTTAATTCAATCTTAGTTATTTGTCTTTTGCTGCTGCTGCTGCTGCTGCTGCTCAGATGCTGCTGCTCCTCCTGGCTCGACAGATGTTGAATATATATACCATGATGATGACCTATAAGCAGCAGCAGCAGCAGCAGCAGCAGCAGCAGCAGCAGTGGCAGCAGCAGTGGGAGCGGCAGTGCAGCGGCAACAATGGTAACAGCAACGCAGCAGCAGCAGGAGCTGCTGCTGCTGCTAAACGCGACGCGCAGCAGCAGCAGCAGCAGCAGCAGCAGCAGCAGCAGCAGTGAGGGAGTCAACAGATTTAGAGCAGCAGCAGCAACAGCTGCAGCAACAACTGCAGTAATGGCTGCAGCAGCAACTGCAGCAACAGCTGCAGCAACACCTGCAGCTGCAGCAGCAACTGCAGCAGCAGCAGCAGCAGCAGCAATAGCAAGAGCCACAACACCAGCATGCAGTTTCTTGCTGCTGTTTTGGATCAGGGATGCTGCAGAGTCTGCGCATACCCAAACCCTAAACCCTAAACCCTAAACCCTAAACCCTTTTTGTTCATTTCAAATGGGTACATACACTGGCGAAATTGTAGCAGCTGCTGCCGCAGCAGCAACAACAAAAGCCTTCTGCTGCAGCTGCTGCTGCAGCTGCTGCTGCAGCTGCTGCTGCAGCTGCTGCTGCAGCTGCAACAGCAGCAGCAGAAGCAGCGAGAAGCAAAAGGATCAAAAATTAGTTGAGTCGAAGAACAGCAGCAAATAAATAAAATGGAAAAGCAAATAACAAAAAGTAAATTAAAAATAAAATAAATATTCAATTTAAATTCTTTTTTATCTTTTTAAAAGTGATGCCTGGACTTGAGCAGCAGCGCCACTCATTTGGAACGAACTGCTGTTGCTGCTGCTGCTGCTGCTGCTGCTGCCTTTGTTGCAGCAGCAGCTGCTGCTGCAGCTGCTGCTGCTACTGCTGCTGCTTTAAGATAAGAGCATTGGAAATGCTGCAGCAGCAGCAAATAGCGAATATGAACCTAAGAATTTCGAGGGGGCTGCTGTTGCTTCTGCTGCTGCCTTTGCTGCTGCTGCTGCTGCTGCTGCTGCTGCTGCAGAGTTTCCTGCCACGAACGAGCTAAGGGAAAGTGGAGCAGCAGAAGAAGTGCTGCTGATGCCGAAGCAGCAGCAGTAACAGCGCCGGCAGCAGCAGCAGCAGCAGCAGCAGCAGCAGCAGTAGCAACAGAATAAGCATCTATCCCCAAGCAGCCGCAGCAGCAGCAAAAATGAGAAGAGTGGGAGCAGCAGCAACAAAAACGACTCCAATGGGATTAGAAACAGCAGCAGCAGCAGCAGAGGCAGCAGCAGCGGCAGCAGCAGCAGCAGCAGCAGCAGTAGTAGCAGCAGCAATAAGAGCAGTGGCAGCAGCAGCAATCCCTCTCTATAGTTTGCTGTCTGTACACTTGTTGAGCTGGAAACGTGGAGTATTAGGGCCGCTGCAAACCCTAAACCCTAAACCCTAAACCCTAATTCAGGTCCTTAAGGCCACTGCAGCGGTCCAACGTTTACATACGGCTCAAACAGCTCCAAACCCTAAACCCTAGGTCCTAAACTCTAAACCCTAATTCAGGGGTTTAGGGTTTAGCGTTTGCGCGCAGCTGAGCCGCTCAGTGTAATTGCAGTGTATAGGCAGCTCTCTGCTGCAGCAGCAGCAGCAGCAGCAGCAGCAGCAGCAGCAAGGCGAAGGAAAAGAAAAGAAAATCTAGAAGTTTTTGAATTTAAATTAATTTAAATTAATTATTTCAAATTAATTTATATTTAGAAGAAACAAATTCGCATCTGCAGCCCCCCAACACCCATTGGTCGTCCACGCAGACCACTGGGACCCGCAGAGGTCACCTAAACCCTAAACCCTAAACCCTAAACCCTAAAAGCAAAACCCTAGGCCCTAAACCCGAAACCCTGAGCCTAAAACCTGAAAAGGTGAATTAAAATTGTGTTTTTGTTATTTTTGGCCCTCAAAAGCTTGGCCTTAAACCCCAATGCAAACCCTAAACCCTAAACCCTAAACCCTAACCCTATGCTGCAGCTGGGGCAAATATCCAAGCAGGCCTGGTGTTCGTCAACACCAGCAGTTCCAAACCCTAAACCCTAAACCCTAAACCCTAAACCCTAAACCCTAGGGTTTGTTCGTGTCTCGCTGAGGGTTTATTTCTTTCCTCAGGATTCATGTCACCATCTATTTGTCTTTGTCAATTATTTAAACTCTTCCGTTTGAACTTTTGTCTCTTTCACTTCTTTTCGGTGTCTTTGCTGCTGCTGCTGCTGCTGCTGCTGCTGCTGCCTGCATGCGGGCAGCAGCTGGGCTCGGGTGTGCAGACGCCTGAGCTCAGCGTCCAGCAGCAGCAGGCGCTGCAGCAGCAGCAGGTGCTGCAGCAGCAGCAGGCGCTGCAGCAGCAGCAGCTGCTGCAGCAGCTGCAGCAGCTGCAGCAGCTGCAGCAGCACTACGGATTCCCTTTCTCTCCTGCTGCTACTTACTTTGCTGATCAAGGAGACACTTTATACTCAGCTCTTCCCATTGAGACCTACACAGCACTGCCTGCTGCTGCTGCTGCTGCTGCAGCTCAGGCAGCAGCAGCAGATGTAACCAACGCGGCCACTGCAGCAGCAACGGATGCTGCGCAGGCAGCAACGAGCGCAGTAACAGAAGCAGCAGCAGCAGCGCAGCAGCTGCTCGCAAGGGCAGCAGCAAAAGCAGCAGCAGCAAATGTTCCCGGCGCCGCTTCCTCCTTGACCCCGCCGCTGCCTTCTCAGCAGCAGCAGCAGCAGCAGCAGCAGCACCTGCTGCAGCAGCTGCTGAAGCAGCTGCCGCACCCGCTGCAGCAGCTGCAGCAGGCCCACTTGCTGCAGGGGCTGTCGCCGCAGCAGCAGCAGCAGCTGCAGCAGCAGCAGCAGTACTTGCTGCCGCTGCTGGCGGCTCGGCTGCTGCCAGGGGGCGGGGCCGAGGGCGCCGCGCCGCCCGCAGCAGCAGCAGCAGCAGCAGCAGCAGCAGCAGCAGCAGCAGTCTCGCACCTGGCCGCGCCGCAGCAGTACGTCCAGGCCCTGCATGCAGCACTTCTCGCCACTTATAATGCTTCTGAGAAGACACGAGCAGCAGCAAATGAGTTTATTGTTTATAGACAAACTCATCCAAACGATGGCTGGGTGGAAGCATTAAATGCTTTTGAAAACGCGGCCAAGGAGCTGCGCCAGCAGCAGCAGCAGCAGCAGCAGCAGCAGCAGCAGCAGCAGCCGCAGCTGCTCGAGCAGCTCCAGAAGGAGCGGGAGCAGCAGCAGCAGAAGCAGCAGCAGCAGCTGCTGCAGCAGCAGCGGCAGCCGGACCCGCAGCGGGCGGAGCAGCAGCAGCAGCAGCAGCAGCAAGAGCAACTGCTGCAGCAGCAGCTGCAGCAGCAGCTGCAGCTCCAGCAACTAATGCACCAGCAGCAGCAGCAACAGCTCCAGCAGCTGCAGCAGCAGCGCCAACAGCAGCAGCAGCAACCGCCGCACTCGCAGGACCAGCAGCAGCAACTGCTCCAGCAACAGCTGCTCCAGCAGCAACTCTACCTCCAGCAGCAGCGACAGCAGCAGCTCCTGCAGCAGCAACTGCAGCAGCAGCAGCCCCAGCAACAAGTGCAGCCGCAGCAACTGCAGCAACAGTACCAAACGCAGCAGCAGCAACAGCTGCTCCTGCAGCAACAGACTCCGCAGCAACTGCAGCAGCAAGTGGAAATGCAGCTGCAGCACCGGTTGTATCTGCAGCAGCAGCAACGGCAGAAGCAACTGGAGCAGCAACTGCAGCAGCAACTCCAGCAGCAACTGCAGCAAAAGCAGCAGGAAATGAAGCAGAAGCAGCAGCAGGAACTGCAACAGCAGCAGGACCTGCAGCAGCAGAGACTGCAGCAGCAACAGCAGCAGATTCAGGAGCAACTGAAGCAGCAGCAGCAGCAGGAACTGCTTCTGCAACAGCAGCTCAGTGAACAGCTAATGCAGCAGCAGCGGCAGCAGGAGCTGCAGCAGCAGAGGGCCAAGCAGCAGCAGGAGCTGCTGCAACAACAACTACTTGAGGAGAAACTAAGGCAGCAGCATCAACAGCAGTTGCAACAGCAACAGCTGCAGCAGCAGCAGCAGCAGCAGCAAGAAGAAGAACAGCAACAGCGTCTGCAGCAACAGCTGAAGCAGCAGCAGCAGCAGCAGCAGCAAGAACGCTTTCAGGAGCAACTGAAACAGCAGCAGCAGCAGCAGCGGGATTGGCAGCAGCAGCTGCTGCAAAAGCAACTGGAACAGCAGCAGCAGCAGGAGCTGGAGCAGCAAGCGGTGCCTCGAGAGCAGCTGAAACAGCAGCAGCAGCAGCAGCAGCAGCAGCAGCAGCAGCAGGAACTGCAGCAGCATGAAGCGCAGCAGCAACAGCAGGGAATTCAGCAGCGACAGCAACTGGAAGAACAAATAAAGCAGCAGCAGCAGCAGTTGCTTCTGCTGCAGCAGCTGCATCAGCAGGAGCAGAAGCTGCAGCAGCAGAAGGAGCTTCGAGAGCAGGTGAAGAAGCAGCAGAAGCAGCAGCAGCAGCAGCAGCAGCAATCGATTCGCGAACAGGAGCTGCAGCAGCAGCAGCAGCAAGAAGAGCAGCAGCAGAAGGAACTTCAGCTGCTTCAGCAGACACCGGAGGAACTGCAGCAGCAGCAGCAGAAGCAGCAGTTACAGCCGCAGCAACAGCAGCAGCAGCAAAGCCTGCAGCAGCAGCAAGAAGAGCAGCAGCAGGCCACACGGGAGCACCAGCAGGAACAACAGCAGCCACAAGAACTGCAGCAGCAGCAGCAGCAGCAGCAGCAGCAGGTGGATGCTAGCGCAACTTTGCTGCCTCGCCTGCTAATGCCGCGGCAGCAGCAGCAAGAGCAGAATAAAAGTAACAGCAGCCTAAAGGCAGAGCTGCAGCAGCAGCAGCAGCAGCAGCAGGAGTTGAAGGAGCCTCAGCAGCAAAAACGGGAGCAGCAGCAGCAAGAGCAACAGCAGCAGGGAGAGGAAATGGGCGAAACACAGCAGCAGCAGCAGCAGCAACAAAGACTGCAGCTAGAGCAGAAGCTAGAAAAAAAGGCGCAGCAAGCTGAAAAGAAGGACCAAGAGCAGCAGCAGCAGCAGCAGCAGCAGCAGCAGCAGCAGCAGCAAGAGCAACACCAGGGTGTGAAGCGTCAGCTAGCCGCCGCAAACCAGCAGCAGCAGCAACAGCAGCAGCAGCAGGAGCCCGAAGAGCAGCAGCAGCAGCACGAACGTCAGCAGCAGCAGCAGCAGCAACAGCAGCAGCAGCAGGAGCCCGAAGAGCAACAGCAGCAGCACGAACGTCAGCAGCAGGAGCAGCAGCAGCAGCAGCAGCAGCAGCAGCAGCAGCAGCAGCAGCAGCAGCAGGGCCCTGCTGCTGCCAGCCGGCTGCTGCTGCGGCCTTTAACTAACTTGAGAGAACGCGCAGGGCTGCGGCAAGTGCTGCGGAGTGAAGCAGCAGCAGCAGCAGTAGGAGGCTCTGGAGGAGCAGCAGCAGCAGCAACAGCAGCAGCAGCAGGAGGCAGACCAGTGGGGCCTTATGACCCCTCGTCGGGATCCGCGGGAGGCGGCGCAGCAGCAGCAGCAGCAGCAGCAGCAGCAGGAGCAGCAGGAAGCACTGAGGGGCCCCTAAACTTCCAAAGTTTGCTTTCTCGTGCTGCTGCTGCTGCTGCTGCTCCTTCTTGTTTGCTGCAGCACACGAAGATCACGGGGCTGCCTTCGGAAGTGGACCAGCGCAGCAGCCTGAGTGCCTGCCAGGCCTCCTGCCGCGCGGGGCAGCAGCTTGCTGCTGCAGCAGCAGCAGCAGCAGCAGCAGCAGACGGCGCGCGCATGCACCAAATGCGAGTAATCCCCCAACCTTGCCACTTTGTCTCCTTCAATCTTGCTGCTGCTACTTGCTACAGATTTACTGCCTTAGCAGCAATTCAAAGAGACTCCAACTACTTGTCCACGAGTGCCAACTGCCCCATTCCTGCTGCGCTGCAGCAGCAGCAGCAGCAGCAGCAGCAGCAGCAGCAGCAGCAGGGGCAGGGGCAGGGGGAGCCGCCGCAGCTCGAGGCGCTGCAGCAGCAGCTGCTGCAGCAGTTCCTGCAGCAGCAAGTCGCCGGACAAGCAGCAGCTTATGACTTAGTCGAAGACACTCTCAGCTTCTTATTTTCTCCTGCTGCTGCTGCTGCAGCAGAGACGCAGCTGCTGCTGTCCGAAGCAGCGCATGCAACTCAAATCCAAAACCCCACAAACCACTCAGGGGGCCCCCAGTACCCTCAAGAGGGGCCCCCCAGTCTCCCAGGGGCCCCCCTGCCTTGGTTCGGGGCTGCTCCCGCTGCTGCAGCACCAGAAGCAGCAGCAGCAGCAGCAGCACCAGCAGCAGCAGCAGCAGCAGCAGCAGCAAACAGCAGCCAGCTCTACCCTCCGGCCAGCCACATTCTCTACTCCTCAACGGGCCCTGAAGACCCCCAATCAAACCCACGAAGAGCCGCAGGGGGGCCCCCAGGGGGGCCCCCAGGGGGGCCCCCAGGGGGGCCCCCAGGGGGGCCCCCAGAGGGGCCCCCAGAGGAACCCCCTGAGGATTTCCTTGAACAGAGGCAGCAGAAACAACAGGAGCAGCAGCAACTGCAGCAGCAGCAAATGGAGCAGCAGCAAAGAGAAGAGTCAGGCCAGGCAGCATATATGAATGCAGCAGCAGCAAAAGAAACAAAAGCAAAAGCCGAAGAAACAGAAGAAGCAACAAGTGCAGCAGCAGCAGCAGCAGCAAGTGAGGCAGCAGCGAATGCTGCAGCAGCAGAAGCAGCAGCTGGGAAGGCGCCAGGAGAAGAATTAGAGGGGCAGGACAGCGCAGGGCAGCTGCAGCAGCAGCAGCAACAGCAGCAGCAGCAGCAGGAAGCAGAAGGATTTCAGCAGCAGCTGCAGCAAGTGGAGAACGTAGAGCAGCAGCTGATAGAGCAGCAACTGCTGCAGCAGCAGCAGCAGATGCTGCTGCTGCAGCTACTCGCTGATCAGGAAATGTACCCAGGGCAGCAGCTGCAGGAGGAGCAGCAGGTTGACGTGCAGCAGCAGCAGATGATGCAGCAGCAGCAGCAACAGCAAACCTATGACTCGCAGACGTACCTGCAGCAGTTTGTGCGTGATCGGCAGCAGCAGCAGCAGCAGCAGCAACAGCAGCAGCAGGAGCGGCAGCAGCAGCAGGAGCGGCAGCAGGAGCAGGAGCGGCAGCAGCAGCTGCAGCAGCAGCAGCTGCAGCAGCAGCAACTGCAGCAGCAGCTTCACCAATCCAATCCAGAACAGCAAAATTCTGTGCAGCAGCTTCACGAGCAGCAACGGTTGCAGCAGCAGCAGCAGCAGCAGCAGCAACACCAATATCACCACCTGCAGCATCCCCCCGAAGACCAGCAGCAGCAACAACTGCAGCAACCATACCCGGAGCAGCAGCAGCAGCAACAGCACAATCCTCAAGATTCGCCGCAGCAGCCCCTGTACTACGAGTATGAGCAGCAGCAGCAGCAGCAGCAGCAGCAGCAGCAGCAGCCCCTGCCTAGCCTTTTGTCATCGGAATTGTTCTCTCTGTTTCCTACAGAGCAGCAGCAGCAGCAGCAGCAGCAGCAGCAGCAACTGCTGCCGCCGCTGCCTTATGCAGCACCTTTGAGCACTGCAGCAGAAGGGGTGAGTCCTCCGAAAGAACTGTGGGGCCCTTCGCTTTGGCAGCTGACTGAGCAGCAGCAGCAGCAGCAGCAGCAGCAGGTGTTGCAGCAGCAGCAGCCGCAGCAGCAGGTGTTGCAGCAGCCGCAGCAGGTGTTGCAGCAGCCGCAGCAGCAAGTGGTGCAGGCGCCGCAGCAGCAGCTGCAGCAGCAGCCGGAGGAAGGGCAGCCGAAGCAGGAGGTGGACGAGTCCGCGTTGCAGCAGCTGCAGCAGCTGCAGCAGCTGCAGCAGCTGCAGCAGCTGCAGCAGCTGCAGCAGCTGCAGCAGCTGCTGCAGCAGTACGGGGGCGAGCAGCCGGCGCAGCAGGCGCAGGCGCCGGGCCGCGTTCCGCTGCAGCGGCAGCAGCAGCAGCAGCAGCAGCAGCAACTGCGTTCGCGTCCGCTGCAGCAGCAGCAGCAGGCTGCGCGGATGCCCGCGTCGGGGCTGCAGCAGCTGCAGCAGCTGCAGCAGCTGCAGCAGCTGCAGCAGCTGCAGCGGCAGCAGCAGCAGCAGCCGCAGCAGCCCGGAGAAGGAGACGAAGAGCAGCAGCAAACTGGAGAAGAGATTGCTGTCGAAGCAGCAGGAGCAATAGAAGCAGCAGCAATTGCCATTCTTGCTGCTCACTCTTTGTTCAAAACTGGAGACACAATGTTACGACGTCACGGACACCTTCTCGACGACGT